GATCTTATGAAATGGATATACAAGAGTCTCTTACCCATGCAACCAAATTGTGCTCCTCGGCAGCTCTTGAATTATCAATTGCCTTCCTTCCAGTGATGATCTCTAGAAGAACAACTCCAAAACTATATACATCTGATTTCAACGTAAGCTGTCCTGTCATTGCATATTCTGGTGCACAATATCCATATGTTCCCATTACTCTCGTGGATACGTGAGTATTGTCCCCAACAGGACCCAATTTCGCTAACCCAAAATCAGATAGTTTGGGGTGATATGCCTCGTCTAGTAAAATGTTTGAGCATTTTAGATCTCGATATATAACGGGTGGATTTGCTTTATCGTGTAAATACTCCAAGCCCTTTGCAGCGCCAGCTGCTATTTTCATTCTCATATTCCAGTCAAGAAGCTTCTTATCAGGCGGAAGATCTGACGTGGTCAAAATAAAATAAGATATCATATACTAAATGTGAATGGAATGATTAAGCTTAAAGCATGTGAAGTTTAAATGATCGGCATCTTTATTTTAGTTATAGCTAGCTTTCAGTTTACACTTGCAAGTTGATTGCAAAGGAAGAAGCTATTGACGCATTGCAACAAAGGTATAATGCATTTTGGTATGAAAATTTAGTGTTGTACAATTCATACCATGTAGATGATCTTCCAATGATCCTAATGGCATATATTCGTACACCAAAAGTCTCTGATCTCCATCGGCACAATATCCAATCAAGTTGACCAAGTTTGGATGATGAAGTAGGCTTAGCATCAAAACTTCAACAAGAAATTCTCTGTTCCCTTGCAAACCATTTCTATCCAGTTGCTTGATAGCCACAATCTACATAAAACAGCAAACAAGGTACATGTTTCACGCTATGATGCATAACTGATTAAACTTCTACATGAAGTCATTCAACATGATATCAGGGTACTGAAATATGTGGAGTTCAAGTCTCCCTGCTATCCATAATGAAAATTGTGCATACGTTAGGTTTTGATGAAAAAGATTATCCCGCTTGGACTTGCAGAGTGTGTTGAAGATAACATAAACTCGACTATACCTCTAAGCTTAACATTGAGGCTCTTATTTAAACTATCAAGGTAAATTTCAATAGGAAAAACCATAACAATGAGACACTCGGTACAATCTCCTTCCATAACTACTACTACTCTTCACTGTTCTATGAAGGATAAAATTCATATCATATTTTACACCAAATTTAATCTTTCCAGGAGTTCTGTTAAGATAGATAAAAAACCGAGGATTCGGATATTACCATCAAACTTGGATCTAAGTGTTCATCCTAAGTAACTGTTTGAAAAATCACAGATAAATTGGAGCTGGAGTGTATATACAAGGCATAGGAGAGGCTAAAAAATTTCACAACCTGCGACTCAGCATTTTGTGAATAGAAATTCATGTCCTCGCTTTTGGTGAGCATAAGAGACTGTTCATAGTTTGAAAGACTGATTTTCCCAATATTCTCTTTTTACAG